GGGGGGGGGGCTGTTTGGTGCGGGCTGATCCCTACTGTAGTTTCCATTCATACAACAGCACCACCTCTGCGAGCGCCCCAGTTCCGCGCTCGGCTGCATGGATCCCTGTCACGGGCCCCCCCGCCGGCGCTTTTTGGTTCAGGACCGTTTGAGCCCACGGCCCTGGGGAGAGGCAGGCTGGTTAGCAGAGAGCTCAGAGCAGGGGGGCTGATGGGTGCCGGCGTTGCTGACGGTCACGCAGCGCAATGCGACGTCCGCCAGCTGCAGCCGGCAGCGAGGCCCCAGTTTGGCTTGGCTCCAGAGCCTGGCAGCTTCGGAGGGTCTCTGGCTCAGCTGCCACGTGCCAGGCAGGGCTCTGTGCTGAGGGGGTCACTGGGGACCCCTCCAGACTGCAGGGAGGGTGGGCCTGAGGCTGGGCTGACCCAGCTGCAGGCATTTAGAGCAACAGGTTGCATGCAGCGTGGCGGAGCTGCTGTTAATGCCTATCCCAGTGACTCCGGCTGCGTCTGGCGGCGGAGTGACTCGAAATCCGTTTAACGAGTGAGCTGAGCCAAGCCAGTTCTCTGTTGCCAGATGGCTATTTAGACAAAGCCACCCCTGCCGGGCATCCTTCCAGCAACTCTGCCTGTAAATAATCTCTCTTATGGCCCAGTGGAGAGGGCACTGGGCTGGAACTCAGGAGACCTTCCTGGCTGTGCCACGGGCCTGCCGGGTGACCTGGGGCAAGTCAGGTCCCTGCTCGGTGCCTCAATTTCCCCATCTGTGAAATGGGACTAATGCTACTGCCCGCCCTGGTTGGAGATCTGCGGATGAAAAGTGCTATCAGAGGAAGGGGCTTGTTGTTATAATTGCCACTCCACCGGTTAGGCGGCAGCATCAGGTCTGGGTTTGGAAAGCTGCACTGAGCCTTGACCCCTGTTGTCCTGAGCTGTGATGTCAGGAAGGCGCATCCCCATTCTCTTGGGGGAAACCGGCCAATGTGAATCTGATCAGTCACTTCCCTGCTGGTGGGGACTAGACTGGCTCCTATGGACACGGGTGTGCTGAGCTCCCAGGGAAGGGAGATACTAAATTAGGTGCCAAAGGGCAAGTCACAGCAAGCCCTGCTGCTCCACTTCCTGATTTAGCTGCCTGTTGCTCTCCTTCCCTGCCCCTGGGGAGTGCATTACGTTTAGCTTCTCTCCAAAGCAGCACACAGGGGACTAGGCTCAGAAAATCAAAGCTCCCCTGAGCCAATGGCTCATTGGGCTGATGCCAGTCTTGCAGCCAGTGGGACACAGGAGAGGTCACAGCCAACCGCCTTTGCCCACCTGCCCTAACCCAATGGATCAGGCACCCATTTTGCAGCCGGGTGAACTAGCGGTGGGGAGATCAAGCCAGACTCAAATCCGCAACCTGCAGGAGGGGAGCCAGGGGCTTTAACCACTCAGCCACTGCCCCTGGCTTGAGAAAAGAAGACTGAAGGGGGACTGATAACAGTCTGCACATTTGATAAGGGCTGGTATAAAGAGGATGGAGATCAGTTGTTGTCCATGTTCATGTTCAGGACAGGAAGTAATGGGGCTTAATCTGCAGCAAGGGAGATTTGGGTTAGATGTTAGGAAAAACTTTCTACCTACACTGGAATAGGATTCCAAGGCAGGGTGTGGGGGTTTTAAAGAACAGGTTGGACAAACCCCCTGTCAGGGCTGGTCTTGGTTTACTTGGTCCCGCTTCAGTGCAGGGGGCTGGACTAGACGACTTCTCGAGGTCCCTTCCAGCCCTACACTTCTGTGAAATTCCCTGCACTTCCTCAGCCTACATTCGTATCACAAACTGGGACTGAGGCTGATGTAATGGAACAGACGGAGAAAGTTTAGAAAAAGTTGCACACCCCAATGCATTCACCACGTGATGGGGCAGATAAAGGGCTGGGTAAAGTTCAGTGCCACACAGGCCTAGTTCACAGTCCAACAGGCCTAGGAAAGCCAGATAGCCTCTTCCTTGAAGTCTTCCCTCCTCTGCTACGGCATCAGCAGAACGTGGAGTATTTTCCACTAGGAGAATGAAAGTAAAACACGTTGCATGTCTACAGCACCTTCCGCCCTAAGGTGCTTTACAAAGGATCACTCCAGGATCACCTCGACCACTAATGCAAGGCAGCCACCTCTGAGGTGGAACACAGCAGCTGCTTAACAGCTCGCAGCAACACTATACAGCAGTTTAGGACAGCGA